AAAGTGTTCCACACAATAGAAGCAGAAGGGTCTTTGCCAAACTCTTTCTATGAGGCTTCAATAACCTTGATCCCCAAGCCACACAAAGACACAACTAAAAAAGAGAACTTCAGACCAATATCCCTCATGAACATTGATGCAAAAATACTCAATAAAATATTAGCAAATCGGATCCAAGAACACATCAAAACAATCATTCACCACGATCAAGTAGGTTTCATCCCAGGGATGCAGGGATGGTTCAACATATGAAAATCCATCAACGTAATCCACCATATAAACAAGCTGAAAAACAAAAATCACATGATCATCACATTAGATGCTGAAAAAGCCTTTGACAAAATCCAACACCCCTTGATGATAAAGGTCTTGGAGAGATCTGGGATAACAGGGACATACTTAAACATAATAAAAGCTATATACAGTAAACCAACAGCCAACATCAAACTAAATGGACAGAAACTCAACGCAATTCCTGTAAAATCAGGAACAAAACAAGGCTGTCCACTTTCTCCATACCTTTTCAACATGGTACTTGAAGTTCTAGCTATTGCCATACGACAACAAAGGGGGATCAAGGGGATACAAATTGGCAAGGAAGAGGTCAAACTTTCACTGTTTGCAGACGATATGATAGTTTACATCAATGACCCAAAGAACTCTACCAGGGAACTCTTACAGCTGATTAACACCTTCAGCAAAGTGGCAGGCTACAAGATCAACTCAAGAAAATCAGTAGCCCTCCCATATACTGATGATAAAAGAGCTGAAAGAGAAATCAGAGAAACATCACCCTTTACAATTGCCACGAACAACATAAAATACCTTGGGGTAACGCTAACCAAACAAGTGAAAGACCTGTATCGTAAGAACTTTGAATCTTTAAAGAAAGAAATTAAAGAAGCCCTCAGAAAATGGAAAGATCTCCCATGCTCTTGGATAGGTAGGATCAATGTAGTAAAAATGGCAATCCTGTCAAAAGCAATCTACAGATTCTATGCAATCCCCATTAAAATCCCAGCACAATTCTTCACAGACCTTGAAAGAACAATTATCAATTTTGTATGGAAAAACAAAAGACCCAGGGTAGCCAAAACAACCCTGTTCAACAAGGCAACGTCCGGAGGCATCACCATCCCTGACCTCAAGCTCTATTATAGAGCTATAGTCCTGAAAACAGCTTGGTATTGGCACAAAAATAGACAGGTAGACCAATGGAACCGAATTGAAAACCCGGGTATTAACCCACACACGTACGAACATCTGATCTTTGACAAAGAAGCTAAAAATATACAATGGAATAAAGAAAGCATCTTCAACAAATGGTGCTGGCATAATTGGAGACTGGCATGTAGAAGAATGCAGATCGATCCATGTTTATCGCCATGCACAAAACTTAAGTCCAAATGGATCAAAAACCTCAACATAAATCCTGCCACACTGAACCTCTTAGAAGAGAAAGTGGGTGGTACCCTTGAACGAATTGGTACAGGAGACAGCTTCCTGAACATAACACCAGTAGCACAGACAGTGAGATCAACAATTAATAAATGAGACCTACTGAAACTGAGAAGCTTCTGTAAAGCAAAGGACACAGTCAGCAAGACAAAAAGGCAGCCCACAGAATGGGAAAAAATATTCACTATTCCCACATCTGACAGAGGGTTGATCTCCAAAATTTACAAAGAACTCAAGAAGCAAGTCTCCAAAACACCAAAGGACCCTATTAAAAAGTGGGCTGCAGAACTAAATAGAGAGTTTTCAATAGAGGAGTCTAAAATGGCTGAGAGGCTCTTGAGAAAGTGCTCAACATCCTTAGCCATCCGGGAAATGCAAATCAAAACAACTCTCAGATACCATCTCACCCCTGTCAGAATGGCTAAAATCAAAAACACCAATGACAATTTATGCTGGAGAGGATGTGGTGAAAGGGGGACACTCCTCCATTGCTGGTGGGAGTGCCAACTGGTTCAGCCACTTTGGAAATCAGTATGGAGATTCCTCAGAAAAATGGGAATAAACCTACCACAAGACACAGCAACTCCACTCTTAGGCATATATCCAAAAAATGCCCATTCATACAACAAAGATGTCTGTTCCACTATGTTCATAGCAGCTTTATTTGTAATTGCCAGAACTTGGAAGCAACCTAGATGTCCCTCACCTGAAGAGTGGATAAAGAAAATGTGGTACATCTACACAACGGAGTACTATTCAGCAGAAAAAAATAATGGAATCATGAGATTCGCAGGCAAATGGACGACACTAGAAGAAACCATCCTGAGTGAGGTAACCCAGTCACAAAAAGAGAAACATGGCATGTACTCTCTCATATATGGATTTTAGACATAGATCTGGGGAGTGCCAGCCTTCAATCCTGTGGCCAGAGAGTCTGGGAAACAGAAACTTTATTTAGTGGCTGATCGAAGAAGAGGCAGACTCCCTTGGTTAAGTACTGAGCTGAACTCAAGAAAGCCAGTAACAGAGAGGGAGGACTGATGATCAAAGGGATTAAGACTGGGCTGGTTTAACCCCCAGAAACAGCTGACCAGACAAAGGTTAACTCTTGAATCCCAGGCATCAGCCTGGGAATCCAGCATGGGACTGATCAAGACCCCCTGAATCTGGGTGTCAGTGAGGAGGCCTAGGGAATCTATTGAGCCTTGGGCAGCAGATCAGTACCCATCCCAAGTATACACATGGACTTTGGACTCCCATAGAACAATGTGAGGTGCAGTCTCTCCCGAACTCTTGGGGAAGGGTCTAGGCCCTGCCCTATATGAAATGACAGACTATGCACACCCCCATGGAGGGCCTCACCCTCCCTGGGGAAATGAGGGGATAACGAGGGGGGGGAGGGCTCGGGAGGAAGGGAGGGAATGGGAGAGGGACCTGGAACTGACTTGTGAAGCAACCTTGTTTCTTATCCAAATTTAAACTGGAAAATAAAATTAAAAAAAAAAGAAATGGAAAATTACAAAAAACAAAATGTATCTGTTTATCAAAAAAGTGCTAATAATGGTAATAAACATAATTTGTGATAATGAATAATATTTACATTACAATTAATCTAACAATAGATATTTTTACAACAAAGTAGCAAATTCCAATCTGCTGGTTTTCCCCTTTTCATTGAAAATGTGTTTTTCTTACATAATACCTTAGTATTATGTTTTCCCCTCCCTTTATTTCTTGCTGTTTCTCCATATCTTCTCTCACATCCAGACACCCTTGTTTTCTGCCTCTCATTAGAAAACAATTAGACTTCTAAATAATAATATATAATATGTATATGATACAAAAATAACACACCAGAGGTGGACAAAACAAACAGAGGAAAAGAACAGAAATGAAGCCACAGGAAACAGAAACCCATTAATTCATACATCAGTAAATCCCATAAAAGCACTAAAGTGGAAATGGAAACCATACTAGGTATGTAAAAGACCATGCAGAATACACATCCCTGTGCATGCTGACTCAGTCTCTGTGAGTTCATAAGTCCTTTGATTATTTTGACTTTAGATGGCTTTGTTTTCTTAATACCCTCCATCCCCTCTGGTTCTTGCACTTTCTGCCTCCTATTCCACAGGGCTCCCTGATTCCTGAGGGGAGAATTTTGATGGAGACATTCTATTTAGGGCTTAGTATTCCCAGGTCTCTCACTCTCTATATAATGTCAGGTTAAGTTTTTCTGTATCGGTTGCCATCAACTGCAAGACCAAGCTTCTCTAAAGATGGCTGGGAAAGACTGAACTATGAGCATAGCAGAATGTCATTGGGAGTCTTTAAATTGCTATGTTATTGTTGTTATTTGTTTTTCACTTTTAGAAAAGAAGTATTTGGTTTTACCATAGGTTTCTGGACTATCTAGTATCCAATTATTGACCAACCAAGCATGTCCAGGAGTGGCTTTCATACCATGGGGTGGGCCTTAATTCAAATCAGTTCTTGGTTGGTTACTCTCACAAGTTTTGTGCCACCATTGCCCTAGCATATCTTGCATGCAAGACACCATTGTTGACCAAAGGGTTTGTGGCTGGGTTGGTGTGTATGCTCTCTTTTGATAGAATGCAGAGTGCATTCTTGTACTAAGATGCTGGAACATAGGGTTGAAGGTTCTATGTAGACATCCTATTAACTTCTCCATGTTCACAGAGTTGAGTTCCTCCAGGAATGGGGTCTTGCTATCTCTTTGTTGTGAGCAACCCATTGTGCTGGCCACAGTCTTGATTGTTTGGACAATTCATGGAATGCTTTTGACTAACAATCAATCAGATGTAACCTAACCCCAGTACTAGAAGATTCGTTTGATTATAAGGGATGTTCAGTTAGGGCTATTTGATTTTTGCGATATCTTGTTTTTTTAATTCTTTCTATATTTTGGCTATTAGTCCTCTATTGGAAGTGCTGCGGGTTAAAATCTTTTCTGATTCTGCAGGCTGCAGTTTTGTCCTAATGATGGTGTTTTTCCATACAGAAACTTTTCAGTTTCACAAGGAACCAATGTGTTACTGGTAATGAAGTGAGATGATAGCGGAAGGGTGTATGTGTTTTGCATGTGTTTGTTCATATACATGATGTAGAAACAACTGAAGAATCCATTTCCCATATCTAAAAGTCATAAATGATGTACATATGTGGGCATATAAGAAAAAGTCATTTTACAAATATGAGTATATTTCAGAAGTAGGTGAAGAGGTTGATCTTGTTCAATATGAGGTGTTTTAAGAGTTTAAGAGTTTTTAAAATGTAGACATGGAACACACACACATGTTCTTAAACGCATATACATTAGAATGTTAATATAAGAGAATATTGTATTTAGATAGAGATTTAGTATTTGAGTTCTTATGTCCTTTACCACAGACCAAAGCTTGGACACTACATTGTTTTACTTGATACTTTTAAGTACTTATACTTTGTAGTCATTATGGCTAGTAAATAATAAGTATATGCTAATCTATCATAATATCTATATAGAAAGATAATGATGTAAATCTGCAACACAGCATTTCAGTATAAATGTATGTATAAATGCTTTTACCCCTGAATGAGTATTTATAATTCCATGGAACACCTACATTATGCTGTGTATGGCCTGATACTTTGCCAAACATGTCACGTTTCTATTCCCTCTTTTCTCACTGTGATCAACCAGCTAAAGTCCAGCAAGAGATTGATCAAGTGGTTGGCAGACACCGCAACCCCTGCATGCAGGACAGGAGCCGCATGCCCTACACAGATGCCATGATTCATGAGGTCCAGAGATGAATCGACCTTGTCCCCAACAACCTGCCCCATGCGGTGACCTGTGACATTAAATTCAGGGACTACTTCATTCCCAAGGTAAACTTGTCTCTTCTCTGCTGCACGTCTGTCCTCTTGATGTTCCCAGGTTCACAGTGTTATTCCAGTCCTCTGAGCCACCCAGGGCTGCTTGTGGTTTGTACTGCTCCATGATCAGGAGGGCAGCGCTACTACAGGTACAGAGATATCTGGTAATGATGCTTCCACATTTGCTCTCTCTTCCAAACACTGTTGGGCAACGCTTAGGTATTTCTTTTTGAATGTTCAAACATTTTGTCAAATTCCCAAAACTCTTTTCTAGATTTTATCATTATGAGATTTTATCTTCAAATTGGAAAGAATTGATATTGTGAATTCTTCAACTCCTTAATGAGGCTGTATCATTCAACCATTTATTTGTGATATTGATTTCTTTTCTATGTTTCTTTTCAACAATGTAGCCTGTAAACATCTTCTTAGAGATTTCCAGAAGTATTAATGTCTGTTATTATTTCTCTAGTGTCTCTGCTATTCTTTGCATCTGCTTAAAGGAGACATTTTATGGAATAATTTTGTTGGTCTTATTTTTATCTGAAAATGAATTTTATTATTTCTAATGATGTATTTGTAAACATATGTGTGATTCGAAGGTGTTACGTGGTATAATAGTTTTCAATGTTCTTTTTGTATTCCTGTGTTCTTAGTTTCTCTTTGGTGGGATGAATTTGAGGATAGTGATGAACAGGCCTGTTTACAGTAGGCATCGCTGTAGTTAGAGTTTCCTGCTCTGACTTCGTGATCACAAATAACCAGCAGTCACTTCCCAAATAAGTGATTTGGAGATATAATACTAATTGTAAATGCTTCGGCAATATCTCAGCCTTTCTACTACTTAACTCTTACAATTAATTTAACCCACATTTCTTATCTATGCTTTGCCATGTGGCTCATGGCTTCTTATCTCATTTTTCTACATGTCCTGCTTCTTCAGTGCCCAGCAGACATGTCCTCTGACTCTGCCCTGTTTTTTTTCCCATCATTTTCCTAATTTGGTTGTCCCACCTATAATTTCTGCCTGGCTACTGGCCAATCAGCTTTTTATTTAGTCAATCACATTGGCAAATCTTCACATTATGCATTATTATTATTATTATTATTATCATTATTTCACAGCACATCATTTGTCACGTTTCTGATAAGAATGACAATTGTAACTCTAATATCTCCATATCAAGTTTGATGTTTTAGGGACACACTGATAGTTGTGTAGATCAGATGAAATTTTTGGGTCTATTTACTTAAGGATGTATGAGATGTTTTATTCTGGATCCAATTATGTATGCTCATGGCCCAAGAACACAGATTTTTTACTTTGAGATAAATATTATTCTCAAAAGTTTGTCTCTTTTCTAAATTGTTCTCTGAACCCATTTTATGTGTCTATGTATTGTTTCCTCTTTGAAGACAATATAAGACTTCTTATTGAGTACCAGATTCTACAGATAGAAAAATCCAGAATTTTTATATGAAAATCTTCATTCAGAAAGGATCAAGTTCTTTCTCCTGGAGAGTCTTGTATTTTTTCAGGTGGGGTGGTGCAAAAAAGATATTGATAAGGTTTCAGTTACTAACATCATGTAGAGATGATGGAACTGATTTTTCATGAGGCATTGAGTTTTGCGTTGTGATAACATATTTAGTATATGGGTTAAGTTGCCAGCGTGCTCTGTTTTGCTAAAAGACACTCACAAGGTAAGATTGTTGAGGAGTCTATGGCTAATATACAGAACTCATTTATGTTTATGTCATAAACTAAATGGTAAGTAGAAAAAAGGACAAGGTTAGAATAGCATATCTCCTCACATCTTCTTAGGGTTTAAGGTCCAGTTTGAGGAAAGAGTTGCCTCAGCTAAACTTATATCCCATTTTCCCCCTGTGGTTGGATGATGTTATGACTGGTCTCTTTGTGGTCCACTCAAGTAGAATATAACATTCTTTTATTTTATGAAACAACCTGGCTATTTCACAGCTGATTCTCCCATCTGACAAATAGGACAAGTGATTACTTTGATCAGAATGGAGCCACTCATCTCAGCAGTACTAATAGTCTAAGAAGGAACCAGTGATCTTTGCCATAACTGTCTGGTAGATATCAGGCTTTCTAGTTCATAAAAATTTTGCTGTCCCTTTAGAGGCACTGTCATTATAGCAGAGAAGCAGCCACAGGCAAGGTGTAAACAAATGCTTATGAATATAGTACATTCAACGCCTATTGACATTAGAAGTTAATTTTCACATAATTTACATATGTCAATAGCAGGCTTTTTAGTTTACAAAATAAAACCATATTTGGTTTATCCACATTCTGATTTTGTGTGGCACCCTGTGAAAGCTTTTAGACCATATACCTAGAAATTTTGACATAATATGAGGTTAGTTTGTGTGCTAGTTGAAGAGACCTTGCCAGATCTATCTCCCAGCAGTTTCTGGGTATCTTCAGAAGTTGTATTGATTTATCTCTCATCAGATAATGACATTATAACTTACCAATAATCTTATTTGGTTTTTATTTTATTTTCTCCCTCTCCTCCCCATTCCATTACTTCCTTTCTTTTGCCCAGTCTTCATCTGGTTTTTGTGAAACATATACATATATACATTTCTGTGTTTGTGTCTGTGCATTCATATAGATGGATTGCATATATGACTACTCTGGTACTTAGCCCTACATTTATTTTCTTATATATAAGAAAAAAGAGTAGTATTTTTCTTCCCAAATTTTTCCTATTGTTCTTAATGAATGGTCTCCTATTCTGTCAACACAGTCAATGAACTATTTCATCTGGAACCTGATTCACATGTGGCGTATGTAGACAGATGTGATGAGCTATAGCAAACAGTGGTCAGAGAAGATTGAGTCTAATCTGAAGAAAAGGAAGAGACTCAGCAGTTTTAGTCCAAGTACTCAAGTGAAATGTCATGCCACTGTGCCTGCCTCAAACTTCTCCCTCTCCTAATGTGCTCTGTGTGTTGAAACTTCCATACTGTTCTTTGAATATTACACCCACTATGGAGCTGAATGTGAATGAGGTTATTTTCCTAATGTGTTTTAGCTTTATGTTTTTTTTGTAACTTGATTTCTCTCTGTGTTGTTATAGGGAACAACGATATTAACATCACTGTCATCAGTGCTGCATGACAGCAAGGAATTCCCCAAGCCAGAGGTATTTGACCCTGGCCATTTTCTAGATAAGAATGGAAACTTTAAGAAAAGTGACTACTTCATGCCTTTTTCAACAGGTAAGGGAAATTCATTTACATGGACCAGTATCACGAGAATCTGGGCAGTAGACTTTCAATGATCAGGGGTACCAGTTTCAGTGTTCAAGCACTGTCATTAAAAAGAGATTTCTTCCCTGACAGGATATGAAAGTAGGACTTTGAATGTTCATCCACCTGTCAAATTTGAGAAAGCTAGAGTGTAGACTATTTGTTTACTTCCTTTAGCTACATCACAGAAATACCAAAGGAAACAAACTTCGTTTACACTTTTCTCACTCACCATGAAATTGGAGACATCACAATATACATTAATGTCTTTTTTGCTGTTTCAATCACCTCCTTTCTCTACTATTAATCACAAGTCTCCAAAATACAGACAATTCATGAAATCCTCAAGTGCCCTTGGTAAACACCTGAATGAACAATATTTATCAGTTGGACTAGGGCAATGAGAGAGTCTCCCAGATCTCTGGGTTATTAGGGATAAATCAGCACATTAATCTCTCAAACCTTATGTATTCATTAATGACAAAGATGGAGCAAGATTCTAATACACAACTTCTTTGCTCCCTCACAATACATGAGTAATGGAGAAGTATAAAAAGAAATCATATGTAACTATAAAAAGGTCATGAACCATTAAAATAGAGCATTTTCAAAGTTCAGAATGCCAGAAGCTTTGAGAGCATCATGAGAAAATGGAGACATTGTCGTTGTGGCAGGACACTCTGCCCAGATGATTGAGAACCCTCTTCCTTCTCATTCAGGGTTAGAGTCGTGGATATTGGCTCAATATCTTCAGTGTGCATGCTGCCTTTGAATGTGAAGCTTCTGTCCTTGGTTTTGATATTTTTAATAATGAAAACAGAATTCCACTTCCTCAGTCTCCCAGGGAGTCTGATTACAGATGTTAACAACCACACCTAACTAAAAAGTATTTTTGAGGAATGTAATTCTTAATAGTGTAGGTTAATTGAGCAACAAATTTGTTCCACATTTTTCTAATTATCTGTCTTTTCATGTAGCCATCCTTCTACCAACCTATCCAATAACTTATGATCAATTCATAGCCTCTTGTGTCAGTTAAACCATTGTGATTCTCACATTTACAAATGAGAATAATAATATTTTTTCATTTTTTTTCCTCCTAGGAAAACGGATGTGTGCAGGAGAGGGCCTGGCACGCATGGAGCTGTTTCTATTCCTGACAACTATTTTACAGAACTTTAAGCTGAAATCTCTGGTTCACCCTAAGGACATCGATACAACCCCAGTACTAAATGGATTTGCCTCTGTGCCACCCACCTACCAGGTCTGCTTCATTCCTGTCTAAAGAAGATAAGACTTCCTGGCCCAGGATGTGTTGTTTTCTCCAGTCCCCTCTAGACCTTCAATCCATCAGGGACAAAGTGTCCTCCCTCCCCTCTCATGTATTCCCATTTAGTCAAGTCCCAAGAAACACCTGTCAATCATTTTGCAATGTCTGGAATCACTGCATTAATGTATTCCTATTTGCTATTCTTTGTAACAGTGTTACTATTCCTTGTGCTAATATGTATCTTTTCCTGAGAAAAACTACAAATTTCCTGTTATATTACTAATATAATAAGATAATTCATTGTCATTTTTATTCCTCATGTTTTCAGTAATAAATGTATTTGATTTGTGAACTTTTTCTGAGACCAGCTTACAATTCAGGTAAGAAATGAAAGAAAATACAGTTCCCAACACATCATGCTGTTCCACATACTGTGAAGGATAGAGAATGCAAGGGTGAGTGCTAGAGAGATGTTTCATCCACCTGAGTGCTTGCCAGAGCAAGCAGACCTATATCTAAACTCTGGTATGTGTATAATGGCCAGCCATGGTGCTGTGTGCTTGTTATACCAACATTGGGGAGAGAGAACAAGAAATTCTTCAATCTGGTTGAACCGCCCCTACCACGCCTAATTAATGATCCCCATTTACCTATCTCAAAAAACAAACTTGTCATCTCTCAGGTAACAACATGCAATGATCACCTCTGACTTCCACATATATGTATGTACATATACATACATTCTCTCACATATATGTATCTTATCATGCACACACATCCACACATCCACACAGACATGCAAAACAGGGTTTGAAGGGTAAGGTACAAAAGCTCTTTGAGCCAGGCGGTGGTGGCAGACTCCTTTAATCCCAGCACTCGGGAGGCAGAGGCAGGCGGATCTCTATAAGTTCGAGGCTGGGCTGGACCGATAGACTCCAAAACAATACAGAGAAACCCTGTCTCGTAAAAACCAAAAAAAAAAAAAAGCTCTTTGACTGAACATCATTTAGAATCACTGGAGTAGTATTTGGTGCTTTTTTTAAAATTAAACTTATTCATTTAATTTAGAAAAAAATCTTATTTTACATATCAATTTCAGTTCCCTCTCTCTCACATCCTCCCATGCTACCTACCGACCCACCCATCCAACAACACACCCACTTCCCAAGAGGCTGTGGCCTTCCACGGGGGATCATCCGAGACTGTCACATCATTTGGAGCTGGACCTATACCTTCTTCATGTTTCTGGGCTGAGAGATTATCCCTCCTTGGGGAATGGGCTCCCAAAGTCCATTTGTACAGTAGTGATAAACACTGGTTCCACTGTAAGAGGTCCAATAGCCTGTCCAGGCCTTTAACTGGCACCCACATTCAGAAGGCTTGGTTTGATCCAATGCTGGTTCCCCAGCTTTACTACTGGGGTCCATGTACTCTCACTTAGTCAGGTCAGCTTTTTCTGTGGGTTTCTTCAGTATGGTCTTGACCCCTTTGCTCATCCCTCCTCTTTCTCTACAAATGGATTCCAAGAGGTTGGCACAGTGCTTAGGTATGGGTGTCCTCTTCTGCTTCAGTCAGCTACTGGATGAAGTCTCTAGGTTGGCATTTAGGCACTATAGGGAAAGGGCATTTAAGGTAACCTTTCCATTATTGCTTAGATTCTTAGTTGGTCTCATCTTTGTGGGTCTCTGGACATTTCCTTTGTGCCAGATTTCTCGTTAAATGTATGTCTCACTCTATTATGGTGTGTATTTTCTTGCTCTCCTCT